ACTTTTTTTTTTTTTTTTTAAGAATCTGATTGGGAAACTGCTTTCAAAACTAATGCAGTCAATTTTAAAGCATGCATCAAAAGCATAGCAGGTAGCACCTATTTTTCTGTAAGATGTAGTTACTGTCACCATTTCATGATGGCTCACTTACCACTTCTTTTTATTTACTTGCCACAAAGGCAAACATACGAAAGGGCAATATATAATACAAAAAATTAAAACAATAAAAAATTAAACCCTTTCAAGGCAAGTATTTTCTTAAACAGCCTCAGGAGACTAAATAATGAAGTAATGGAATGGCTATCCAGCAAAGCAGAGACTCTTTGAATGTCTGATTTCTTCCACCCCAGTACTTGGAGAAGCTGATGCAGTTAAATCTGTTTATTAATCAGAAGCACAATGAAATAGGCAGCATTTGCTTTCAGACAGTGAGGGATATCCTTTTGTGTCTGTCAAAGAAGCACTTCAAATTCTTCTTGAAGTCTATAATCCCACAGAATTTGTTCCTTAATCTACTGTAGGGACAAATAATAGAAGCTTTCAGTCCTGTCTTTACTTTCATTTTTATTTCTGGACATAAGTACAACTTTTTAAGCATGGAAAATACAGCTCTCCAGCTGACATCCAGTGCTTTCTGCTAGGAACTCTTTATGAATGGAAATCTGTATGCAAAATGTCCTCCTTTTTCCATCAACCTCCCTCTCACTGTGGATTCACACAGAGTTGACTGCTTGAAACACCTCACAGTTAGAGGTCTGAAAATGCTATGGTTCATTAGCGGGAAAAAGATGACAGCAAGAGGCTGGTGAAAGACCTCAAATATTTGATCTGTTTTTTCTCATCAAAGAATAGTCATTAAATGCAACACTCCACGGTCCACAACAACAGAGAAAATTATCTTGCTGTTCAAAATCAAGCTAAGCTACCTATATGTTGACTAAAGGAATATCAAGGAAACAAAAAACTCATCGCAAAAGACAGTTTAAGTAGGGACTTTTGTTTTGAAAATCCTCCTGCTTAACAGACTCCATCCTTTTTTCTTAGCAGTTTGTACAATGAGGAAAAAAGTTGCAATCTGTATGCTCTATAACTCTCAACAGAAATTAATTGTACTCGCTATAATTAGTATTTTGGAGCTTCCTATTTATGACCTCTTTTCTGGAAGACAGTCTGGCTACGCAAAGTCCAATGTCAGATAGCGAATCATTTTCCATCCTAAATTAAAGGCAGCATTTGGTTATATATAGCATCTTATCTTCCGTTAAGCTTAACAGGAGGGATATTACTTCACTAATTAAAAAAAATGCCTTTGGGGTGGGGGGGTAGAGGAATCTAAAAAACAGTGGATTTGCATCAAAATGAAGAAAAAAGAAGGGAAAAAGTATTTCAATGAAGTATAATGGTGCACCTTGTCTTGTAAAAATATTGTCTACTGAATCTTAAAAAAAATAGAAAAGGTCATTACATATAGTAAAAATAGGAAAGTAAATGTATCTAGCGAAGACAAAAAAGCATTTGCCTACCAGGTATGGAGCGCATCAGTTTCTTGAAAATTGGGAGTTTAAACTAAGCTCAAACACTTCCTTTTATTTCAGTGAAAATAACCACACTACAAAGAAGTATCTCCTTTTCCCAACATATTAGTTAACCACACCTCTTGCAAGCCATTTTTTTTTCTCCAACTGTGACTGCTTTTGAGGGGTTTGAGCTCAGATGCACTAATGGGCTGCACAGAAACTAGAGCAAATGCTTGAACACTAGCAGTTTATTAAAAATTTTATTTTGAGTATGCCAATTGCAAGGCTAGAGAAAACATACTGCACAACACACACGAGTGCACGAACAGATAGCGCAGTGCAGCTTGCGTGTGACTAAACAGAAAGTGTGATCAGTACGATCAAGGAGTGATCCTTGTCAGCTCTAACACAGAATGACAGCTACATATCAAGTCAAAAATCTTGGCAGATAGAGCTTTTCCCATATTTAATTCCACTGAAAAAAGCAAAAGATAAATAAAGAACTTGTCTAACAAACCAGGCAATTCACGCCCTCTGCGTGGCAAACCACTGTACAGGCAGTACTGGCTCTGAAGTGACGGTAACTCTTGCATTTTGAGGGAAAACCAGTGTGCTAGACCAACTTGGATCACTTAGGCCTCACATCTTCACAAGTAGAGCAGTGCAGATTATAAAACTGGGTTAGCTGTGGCCTCCTATCATTAGTACAGGAATAAAAAAGTGCTAGAAGGCTAGTGGGCCAAAGTATTTATAGACTAAAACCTGCGGATGGCATTTTAAGCTGAGGTCTCTTTGTGTTAGATGGCTGTCAAGGATGAACTGAAAACCTAATGAGAGTTTTCAGAATAGTATTTGTTTTAAAGCCCATCTCTCTACCATTGTTTTCAATTTAAAACCAAACGTAAACTGCTTTTTAGCAGTTCTAACAGACGCAGTTACTAATTCCTTATGAAATGTCTTGAAATATAGTATTTTTCACAATATTAAAAAAAAGAATTATTTTCTGATGTGTTATGCAGCTCTTCTTTTACACTCCTTTCACCTTTACGGGGGTTTTCTATTGTTTGTTTGTTTTAACCTATTACAAAGCCTTATGTCAAATGTACAACTGTTTAAATTATAAACCATAAATTGTAGCTTCGGGGTGTTCGCTTATATTGAAATTAAATCCTTTCTCATATCACCTGAAATTATTTTAATGGTAATGGGGAAAAAAAGGAGTGGTGGAAAAGGCTACATGAGCCATTTATCGATTTTGTGTTTACAATATAAAGAAATGTACTGGAAGGCTTCCAAATACTTATTTATCATTTTCAAGACTTAATAAAGTTAAGTAGTCCAAGGGCCAATAATTGTCTAGTATCTATTAGAATAACTAGGAGATTTATCCTGATAGATTTGTAGGTTTTCCACCAGAAGACTAACCAGTTACCTGAACTGGAATGTGGTAACAATTTACAGAAATCATCTGCACTTAATCTAACACTTTTTATTAAGGGATGCTAAAAGATCTTGTACACAGGAATGGTCCCTGTTTTATACAGGTGAATACTGCGTCAAAAAAAGGTTACATAATTCACATAAGTTCCCATAGGAGAAAGAGGCAAACCAATCTCTGACATCTTGATTCTAGCAAATCTGTTTTCTAAGAGGTCAATGTTCTGTGACTTTGTGAACCCATGAAGGACACGTAACATATCCCTGTAGGCTGGGGAAAAGTGGCAGCTCACAACATTCAGGATGTGCAGGTCTAGTTTCGAGTAACTTAGTAAAATAACCGCATTTATCCAGAGAATCTTCACTGGATTTTTTAAACTGAAAGTTTAGTCTTTTACAATTTAAGCAGCCAAGGATATAAAAAACAATCTATCTATAAAAATTAGTATTTATGTGTATATTTGTTGAATTGTTGAAATGGTCCTATTTACTTAGGGCCCAACGCTGTGATACCCTATACTCAACTCTAACATCACCGGGGTTAGCATCTTTTTGAAAACACTGCCATTTTACAGCAGAGTGCCAATAACCCCCAGGGCACGAATGGGCAAGGACACTCAGAGTATCTTTCACCATGGCTTATGAAGAAAAAACAAAACCATACATTTATGTCCTATATATAAATGAACATCCCCACAACAAGAGTAAATCAGCATTACCCCACTGACTTCAGTGAAGTTACAGCAATTTAAACCACTGAGACTCTGTAAGAGACTCTGTAAGAGACTCAGTCCAGCAAGTAACTAAAATCTTTGAGACAAACTATAAAATGCAGAATACTTATACTCATGGGTAGTGTTATAATGTGCTTTGGCTATGTTTGTTCTACCTCTTTACAATGGTAACGGCTCTTCTCTGTAGCCACCCTAAACCAGACATTCCCGGGATGGAGAGCTCTTCTCCGTAGCAGCTTTGGAGGCCACTGCACAAGAGCAGGGTGCCAGCATCGGGGTTCTGATCTCAACAGTGTACTACACCCTTACTTTAAGTTCTAACTTTCTCCAAATGAAAAACATGCAACTACTTCTAAAGCGCAGTAATTTCGAGACAGAAAAGGTTAACAGCACGAGGCCCACAATCAGCTTTGTGATCGTCACGTTATTTTTTCAAATGGAAAAACCAGACAAAGTGCACTGCCTAGGAAGGGTCTCAAACGCTGTCTGGCTTCCTTCTGGCTGACCATTAGGGACTTGTTCTCAATCATGAATCAAAAGACTAAGAGCGACAGGCCTCACACTGCATCATTTTCCCGTGCTTTAACAGCGAGGTCACCTTTGACACTGGGGTAAAAATCTGCTGTATTGCCCACTGTATCGCTGCTTGCCTGTTAAAATGAAGCAGCCTGGTATGGTCAGACAGTCTCTGGGGATCACCTTAGATCCATTTCAGCAGTTTATTTCTCTGCCCCTTCACCAGACAGTCACTGGTTTTTTTAAGGCCTATATTCCTGAAACAGTTCTAGTATGCAACTATCAACATTACTGCGAGTAATATTGCAGCAGCAGGGGGGAAACAGAGCTTTTATCTACTGCCTGTTTGGCAAATTAAATTAAGGGTTTTTTTCTTCTATAAGGAGAACATTATGCAAGTTTAACTCTGTGTGTTCCTCAAGGTTTTGGTGAACAGAACGCTCAACTGTTTCAAGGAAAAGGAACAAACAAAATTTACTAGATTATTTGCTATCCGTTGTTCGACTTCTATGTCTAGAAAAGAATTTATACAATGCCCTTTTTAAATTCAATTACTGCCCTGAAAGAGTTTCCTTTCAGTAGTGGTGAGTTGATTTTTAATATTCTTCTTTCTTATCTCCTCCAGCTTAGTATTTTAACTTTCCATTTCTGCAAGTTTATTAACGACAAAAATATTTTTTATTTTCCTTGTAAACACTTTTTGGGGATAATTATTACATAATTATGTCTTTTAGTCTCGTTGAATCTCTTGCCATGAACATCCTGAGGAACAGCTGATGGATTTTGCCACGTCCGTTTCTTCATGTATTTTTGCCATGACTTTGTGCTCACTGACAGAACAGATGCTGAGATGTTTCTCACTTTTGCTACTGATTCATCTGTCATAGCTACTAAATTTGTCTGAAACACCGTGGTATGAAGAGAGACAGGTAAGACAAAGTCTACGCCCCTCTGTTACCCAAGTTTCCCTATCACGTCATGATTTGCTATCTTTACCAATCCCCAACATTCCATGAAAGATATGAACATGGGAAAAAGCAAGCAATAAGCAGACATTACACAGAAAAGCAGGAACTTACACCCAACTATCTTCATCTCTGCATCAGAAAGAAAGGGGAGAGAACAAAGGGAAAGGAAAGGGAGAGAAGCCAGGAAATTAAGACAAGGAGAGAGAAAAAAAGAGAAAGAAACATCACTCACAAGTAGAAGATGAAGCATGCACTTTTCATCAGAGGATCAAAGTAAAAGACAGAATACTTATCAGCACATGGGGAAGGGAAGGGATGTCCTTTGGGGAACTGACAAACGCCATGCCTATGCAATAGATTTCTGACCAGCAAGTTCTGTATACAAAGAAAGTTGCAATCCAAAAGGCAAGCAGCACATGCCTCATTGCTTTTATCTCTGGGAAAAGGTAAAATTGTCAGCATCAGATGGACGGTCTTAAACCCAGTAGCAATTTAGAAAAGAAAAAAAAACCCACAAATGAACAAAAACCCACCACACCTCTTCATGAGGCTGATTTGACTGAATCCCTTCTGATTTGGACAAGAAAGATAATTAAAGTCTTTATGATGCTCTGCTTAGATCACAACACAGTAGGAAACAAAGAACATTTTATCTTTAGAAATGAAGACAGGCATGGTTATTTTGTAGGATATTAATCTTGTTCTGCATAACCATGCAAGATATAAGCACATACAGACCGTTTTCATTTTATTTCTTAATGATGACCAGCTACCACTCATGTTCTCATGATCTGAGTGAGGGAAAGGAGGGCTTGATATAGGAACTAATGCTACTGTTTAGAAAACAAAATGGGATAAGAAAACTGTGTGATAAGACATAGCTACAGAATTTTAATGGTTAAGATGTCTACATGTGAAAGGTTTTCCTATGAAAAAAGAAAGTGAAAATGTTAAAACCTATGACCAAGAAGATTCATTTGAAATGCTAGAGCTATTTACTTTTTTAAAAATAGATTTCTTTTTTTTTCAGCAGAATGATCACTGCATATTTTAACAATACTAGGTGATGTAGCCTTTATTAATTTATTCATAAAAAACATTTTAAAATCACACTGCCTTCAAAAAATCTGCATCCACTTGCAAAATACAAGTCATGAACTTCCTGTGCTCTTTTCTGAAAGAAGAAACTCTGTCTTTAATGAGAAAGAAACAGTTCTGAAGCAAAGCAAGGAAAAGGTAGTTTGACAAAGACAATTAAAGCAGCAGACATAACTGAGAACTGCTGATGTGCATAATAGGATTGGTTTTTTGTTTGTTTGGTTTGGTTTTTTTCAAAAATGAAATATTTTCTAGCTTTAGACAATACTAGCAAAGCTAAAAAAGAATGTTTGATTCTAGCTGTAACGACATAAGCACAAAGTAAACTGACGGACATTCCTTCTTCATGTAGCTTGGCTAATCCCCCTGAAAGATAACTTACTCTACCCAAATGTTCTATCCTGGACATTGGGTAAACTCAAACCACAGTCTGATCTATTGTTTTAAAAGCAAATAGGCAAATATCTGCTGTTGCTTGAATAATGTCAAACGTATTTTCATTGCCCAAAAAAATGATAAGTAATTAGAATGAATACTGTTCACTGCATCAGAGAAGTTACATTATATTTTAATCTCTTAATCTTTCAGAGAGTTCATTAATCTGGAGAATACCGAGGATAATGAAAATTTTTGTTTGGAGCACCATTCATGGTTACCTCTATCTTCACATCTCATCTCTACTCTGGCAATGCCCTAATTTATCATCCCAGTGACAGTCTATTCACACTTCCATGGCCGCCTTTCTTTTCTTACCTGGTGTTTTAAGACATTTACAAACTGCCTTTCTCCACAAACGTGAGCCATTTTTTTTTCCCAATACAAATGCCTAAAGCTTTGCATCGAAACTCTATATATGCAGACCTCTTGTAGCCCCCTTTGAATCGAGAAGTTCGGGTGTCCAGCACCTCTAGAGAGGCAGTAAGCATTTAACATAAGAATGGTGGTCCTTTCACGCATTTGTTTGCATCAATCAGTATTTTGAGCAGATCTATACATATATGAGACCAATTCCAAATAGATTATCGTCTTAAAATCCCTGTGTTTTCTCCAACAAGAATTGTGGTTCCCACAAAAATGAGATTAGCAAGCCACTGTGGTCTTTTGAAGAATACCATTTGAAAAACTGATGGGCTGACCAAAGCTGGGAAGATCACTACTGTACACGTATAGCCAGCCTTACAATGGATGTAGAGGGAAGAAGGCCCACTATGCCAGCTTGCAGGAAGAGGCTAGTGCCCAGAAAATGAAAAAACGATTAGGGGGAACACTGAGGCCATAAAGCTATTCCTTAAGCTTGTTAAAATTCAGTGGTCTGAAGCACTTGAGGGACACTGCTATACATAAAAATGGAGAATAAAGCGATTCTTGTACTAGAATCAGTTCACTTATACAGGCAAGTAAATATTATCTTTGATGTTGACTTTTCTAGCTGTGATCTAGCTATTCTAGCTGACACATCCAGCTGAGATCTCAATTACAGCAGATCACCTTGCAGCAGCTGTGTCTGCATATCAACATGCAATATTTAATCTTTTCTCTATTTGATTGCTTTGGGTTAAGACTGGAACTGCTATAAGGTCACTAAAAACTAAAATTTATTATTGGCTTTATAGCCCACATCCTCTGCTGTTTTATTACTGTTATTTTCAAGTCTGTTAGTAAATAAAACACATACTGTTCTAAATCCTTTTACTTTAGTTTCTAGAAATTCTTCCCATCTACTCCCTATTTTTATTGTGCTTTTTGAAGAGCCTCCATAATGATGCTACAACAACTACTTTTGATACTGATGTGCCACTGCAGTCTTTCGAGTAATAAAATCTGATACTTTTCCCATTATGCTTTCATAAAATTTCCCATGTCTGCAAAGTCATCCTTGGTCTTGGTTATAACGCACAGCAATGAGATAGTATTTCAAATGCTATACATGCAATATAATTAATAAGCCCATTTCTTACTACACTGTAAAAATCAAGACAGTATAATGCCAGGTTTTTATCTATTGATTGCATGACTGGCTAGGTTCCGGTTTCCTCCCTAAATGAACTCTTGGCTATGCTGGAGCTACCTCAACTCGTGCCAGAACAAGAAGCATCTCAAGCTGCTGCTCCAGAAGTAAGGAGCAAACGAAGTACAGCAATGCTTCAGCCAAGACAGCTGCTGCAGGGACTAGCTGCTCTGTAAGGCCAGCTGGAAAATCAGACCAGATTTGCAGCCTCATGTATTGTCAACCAATGCAAAAGGATCATACTAAACTCCGAAAATCAAGGTGGCAAAGTGGAAACTCTTTTTCCAGGCTTTGGATTATTTGGAAGAAGAAACTTCATGCATTTTAAAAGAAACATCAGCAGGCATGAGGGATATCTAATTGGGGGTTTGGGGCGGGAGGAATATCAAAGCAGTCTTTCCAGATCACCTTTTATACCTGTAAATTTAACACCTTCTATTACTATAATGTTTGTTGATCAAAATGTTTCAGCATGCCTCCCTGAATCTGGAATTGCCATTTAGTGATAAATAAGGCAACTCTTCTGTTATTAATCTTCTTCAAGTAAAGCACACATCCCAGTGACACTTGTCTAGAAGAGTATGAGAAAAAAAAATGACCAGTATTTTAAGATTAGAGCTGTTATGTTTACCTGGCATTATAACATCAGGAAAACCCAACTTCCTGGTAACAGAAATGCCTCTGTTAAAGATCATGGGGTTTTCCCTTCGAATCTGCTCCATGTCGCCACGTAGAAGCTGAAGCGATATTATAAGTCCTGGGAAAAAAAAAAAAATGTTCATTTTTTCAGACCTAAGAATTAGGTGTCTGCATATACAAAGCATGCAGGTAAAATAATGTTTTGCTCCATGGTTAATTTAATACAAATATATAAATACAGAATTGTTTCCTCCTTTGGAGTAATTTAAAAGTGAAAAGGAAGATACAAACCTACTTTAAGGGATCAGTTAAGAGCATAATATTACATAAAAATACAATTTTTAAAAATCAGAATAATTAATTTCACAGAGATCTCACAAGTTACAGTAAACTACTTAGCATTATTTCTATTCCTCACATACAGCAGGTTACAACACATGTATGAGCAATGCCACCTCCATCTGAACGACATCATACAATGCCGTAGAGCATCTCTAAAGTGCCTTTTATCCCACTTAATACCATAAAAAAAAAGCTAACCAAAACTCAAAGCGTATCTGTTCCACTCGTTTCTTTAACTGCTTCATACAAGAATGTTGATTTTAATGAAACTCCCTTCAGTAGCTCAACATGTTTCAAGAGTACCAACTGTTCAAACTGACTTCAGAAAACAAGAGTAAGAAAGGCTCAGCAACTAGCTCTTTCAATGCGACCCTTTGTTCAGTATATCAGCTGAATAACTTGACTAGGAATAATTACACAGTTAATCTCAGTCCAACTGCTTTCTCTAGCTGCTTTTAATTTATAGCATACTACACCCCTAAAATGAGGATAATGTATTGGTAAAGTCACAAAGTCAAGCATTAAGATACTAGAAAATGCCAGGATTAAGCTCAACCATGCAAGCTTAGTCTCATCTGCTCAGCATACATGACCAGCTTCACATATCAATGTGAATTACATTCATGTAGTAATTTTCCACAATCTTTATCTCATTCAATGAATGATGGTTAGTCAATAGTTCTTTCTATCCTCTCTGTTCACTTGCTGGAACAACACACACGAAAACAAACACTGCCTTGGATATATATTCTTGCATGAGCCATTTAACATTCTCCTATTTCCTACGCTTAATATATTGGCTTTGCGAAAAATATTTAGTCGCCATTTTGTTAGACAAGTTACTAGGGGAATGAAACCAGTAATATCATGAACCTCGCACCCAGTTTCTGCTCTCTTCCCTTGAAATAATTATCAAGCCTGTTGTTTGGCTTCAGCCAAATTTGGCAAATAAGTAGATATCTAGATAACATGAAGATTGTATAAGTTTTATGAATACTGGGAGTTGGGATGAAAAAAAGAGCATAAAGCCTTAAAACGAAGGAAAAGGGAGGCCAACCAGCCAGCTGGACAATCAGCATGTATGTATTCAAAAGCTGCCAAAATAGAGACTTGCAACTGCCCAGCTAAGTAGGCAGAAGCGCGCTGCAAAGCACTGCAGGGAAAATAGAGGCTTTATAACCATGGACAAAATTCAAACCCTTTGAATACCATGTGTGAGTGTACATCTGTGTGCGCGTGTGCTACAGAAGGTTTAACAGAACACAGGAGACAAGTTGATTAGAAATCAGTCTTGAGTATTTTTGCCACTTACAGAAAAACTTGTTCATTTTATATCCTCTTTTGCTATTAAAAACAAACAAATGAAAATAAATGCAAAAAAATCCAGCATAAAGGACTGGAGCAAATTTGGTAGTTCAGACCTCTTCACACCCAACACGCCCAGTACTTAACAAATAGCACCAGAATTAATCTATTATCTACACAAATCAGTCACTAGTGGTAATAGAATATGTAATTTTCCAGCATGGTATTACATATATTACTTATGTGATACCCTCCCACATATTCCACCCCAAAAAACTTCTGCCTAGCTTCTTGCTCTCCCCAACAGATTTTGTAAATCTAGTTTCCAGTCCTCTTTTTCTACCCAGTCTATCCTTCCAGGTTTTTTTCTCTTCGCTGCAGCAGATCTGAAGGACTAATTTTACACAATTCCCCATTTACCTGGGAAGGTGGGGAGAGAAACAACGAGAGAGCTTTTCTTCAGGAAAAAAATCCCACTTGTGATTTGAGCACGAGGCCCAAATGGTATTACTTACGCTTAAATCACGTCAGCCTGCAATACAGCCCCTCCCAGCAGGACAATACCTCTGCCAAGTTTCAACCTCCTATTCCAGAGATGCACTAGATCTTAATGAAATGTTTGAAATAATGAGTTTAAAAAGCCAAAGCTATCTATTTCCCTTTCTTTCTGCTCTTCAAAAAAGCTCAGGTTTGGAAAAAAAAATTTTAGGTAGACACCTGGCATTGGAAATAAATGCAAACAGTCCAAGTTTTCAAATTTATAAACGTTTCAGGAAAATGTTTTAATGATAAGTGGTGGATGACCTTAACTGTAACAGGAGGAAGAGCAGGGAAGGAGACCAGCTTTGCATATAATAAAATTCCAAACCTGAAAAATGTTTTATTTGCTTATTGTTGTGCTTAATATCTTCTATGGGAGTGTGAACTGCATATTCCACTACAAATCTCAATATGCAAACAAACGAAATTACGACAGTATCAGTATTTGGACATCAGTATGCCGATAAATCAGGCACTCAGTAATGAATGCAAAACTAGCTGTCACGAAGCAGAACTGTATCCTCCTGGCTGGTTTATTTGGAATGGAATAGTAATGATACCTCTGAATTGGTGAACTACGGAAATCATTAAATGAGGTAACAAGATAGGGCAAGATTTACTTTCCATATTTATCTGTCATCAACTAGGAAAATAAAAATGGATTTGAAAAGTGGCAAAAACTCTGCCAAGGCAGTTATTCTCCTCAACTATGTAATGAAACTTTTAGTACTGAAACTATCACAAAGAGTCTTCTTGATAATTCATTTGTAGGTACGAAAACACTGCTTATTTTCTGGACAGTCAGAATTTTCTGAACAAATATGTTAGACAAATTTAGCCTCTGGCTTTGCTTCTGTTGACAAGGATGCATAGTATCCTCAGGAGAGCAAGCCTTAAATATGTGTTATACCTGGAATTTTCAAGGGAATGCAGGATGAAAAGGAAGACAGTTTTACTCAGGGAAATTCTGATAAATAAGATTTAAATTCTTCACTTCCTGTGCAGCCAAGGCTGGTCACAGTAACTTAAGCCAGCGTCAAAAAAAAAAAAAACCTTTTAAAGGAGTTCTGCCAATGCTGATCGCTGCTGATGTTGCATCCCCCCAGGGCTAGCAGTTTCACAAGCGCAGATATACGCAGTCAGTGGAACAGCCAACAAATGAAGACTCACAGAGTAAGCCAATACTATAGCAGGCCACTAGCTCTCTCCACTGCTGACCTCTCTGGAGATAAAATAGCACTACAGGTATAATGATGAAGGAAATTTAGCATGCTGAATTCATATTATTATCAGCCATATCTGAGAAGGAAAGATATCAGGTGTTTTTTTTTTTTAATTGCTGGTTAAATTGGCAGATGCAATACAGATTTTCACCTGTAAACTGAACGTGAATGAATTTTAGCTAAACTTTTAAATTATCACAAGTAGAGAAATTCAGCTATGCATAATCTCACATCTCACTGAATTTCTCTGCTATAAATAATAAGCAGTTTCCTAAAGGAAATCTTCAGCTGTTATTACGACAAAAATGGAGAAGTAAATATTTACCATAGTTTGAGCTGGGTGCTGTGTATTTGGTGCTGGACTTGCGAATAATATTTTCATGGATCTGGCACCATTCATTTTCGTTGTTACACCTAAAATAAAAGAACACTCACTCAAGTTAAAAGCTTTCCGCTGACCCATCTTAGGACAGGAAAGTCAACTTTGCTGTAGAGATAACATGAAAGGTCGTGGGGTTTTGATGAATGAGAGAAATCCCACATAACTCTTGTCTTTAAAAATGGAAGGAAGCAAAACATTCCCTAATAGTTATCTCCTTTTTATGGACACTTTGGAGCCCGTGGTGACTTTTCTGTCATCAAAGCCACTGTTTCACTCTTCATATTATGGCAGAATGAAGAAAGCTCTGGGCATCTTTAGTTGAATTCTGTGCACATAGAAAATTAATTTTAAGCTGAAATCAACTGTTGCCATATATTAACTTTTTGTGTTTAATAAAAAAAAAGTTAGAACCAAGAAATAAAAAGTGAAATTTGAAAGACTAAATAAACCCCTGATTTTTAGTATCTCAGACATTTACAACAAGACTTTTGCTTACCTACATATTTTACAGAACACCTTGAAACATGATGCAACCCCCACCCCAAAATTGTAGGACAAGAATATACAACAACACAAAGCACGCTTCTGTATGTATACCATCTTCTGAAGGAGCATTTCACAATCGTTTATTCATCTATATGTAATTTTAATAAGCATTTGTAAATACTGTTATATTTCATTTTCAGTTACATTACCATCTGTAAATCCTCAATAAAATTCTAGGACCGAAATGACAATCTATCTTTCCTGTTCGGTTATGCAATTAAAGGCTCATCACCTGGAACCCAAAGGAGAAGAGGAACAACGGCAGGTGCCCGAGAACCTCACCAGAGAAAACACAGCCCCCCGACCTGCTCCTGCCGGGCTGCCGCAGGAGGGTGTTCAGCACATTGTGCAGGTGCGAAACCCGTCAGGATGCGTCAGCCAGAAAGGCTCCCTGGATGGCTTTAAAGACTGAAATGGGTTACCGCCTTGGGTGATAATGGGATGTTGGGGAAGAGCATTTTGGGATTGCTCAGGACTT